CCCCCCCCCCCCGCTCTCTACTAAGGTGACCACTTCTGCTCTATAGACCGGTCATTAGTTCTGGGGAGACTTTGCAGGGACCTCGGATACTTGTAGGGGGAGGGGGGAACTTTGTGGCATAAAATCTGGTGCAGCTCTGCATAGAAACCAATCAGCTTGCAGGTTTTATTGTCAAAGCTTCATTGAACAAGCTGAAGGTAGAAGCTGATTGGCTGCCATGCACAGCTGCCCCCCCACCCCCCGGGTAGTGTCACCATATAGAAATATTTACATTGTGATCATATAGATACAATGTAAAGTTATTTTTTCCCATTTGCATGCAATAAGTAAAAACAGGACCTGATGGGATGAAGATCTTCCAGGAAGATTCCAGAACCCGATATTGTCCTCCGAAATACCAAACCAAACCCCCTATAGACAGAGAGAGAGGAGCCGTACCTGATCTATGGTGTCAGTCCTGGAAACTAACATTGCAGTCCTTCCTCCTTCCATCACATGACACCAACATTCCACCAATTTACTTTCACATTCACTTTTGTTAAACCCTTCTGTAATCCTGACAGTGCAGTGACACCATGCATAATAGGTGACACCCAGCGTTGTACTATTATTATTCATTCAGGATTTATGGCACCAACAGTGTGCTCAGCACTGTACAATATAACAAAGACAATACAGCAACAAAAAAAAACAAAAAAACACAAAAACAAAAAAAAAAAAAAAAAAAAAAAAAAAAAAAAAAAAAAAAAAAAAAAAAAAAAACAAAAACACAAAAAAAAAACAAAAAAAAAAAAAAAAAAACAAAAAAACAAACACAAAACCCCAAAAAAACAACACAAAACAAAACACACAAAACAAAAACAAACCAAAAAAAAAAAACACAACCCACACACACAAAAAAAAAACAACAAAAAAAAAAAAAAAAACCAAAAAAAAAAAAAAAAAAAAAACACACAAACACACACACAAAAAAAAAAAAAACACAAAAAAAAAAAAAAAAAAACACAACACACACACCACACCACAAAAAAACACAAAAAAAAAAAAAAAAAACAAACAAAAAAACACAAAAAAACACAAAAAAAAAAACACACCAAAAAAAACAAAAAAAAACCCCCACACACACAAACTAACACAACAAAAAAACAAAAAAAAAAAACAAAACACACATAAAAAACACAATCAGTGTGAGAATACAATGTATCAGTGTGAGAATACAATGTATCAGTGTGAGAATACAATGTATCAGTGTGAGAATACAATGTATCAGTGTGAGAATACAATGTATCAGTGTGAGAATACAATGTATCAGTGTGAGAATATAATATATCAGTGTGAGAATATAATATATCAGTGTGAGAATATAATGTATCAGTGTGAGAATATAATATATCAGTGTGAGAATATAATGTATCAGTGTGAGAATATAATATATCAGTTTGAAGAATAAATGTATCAGTGTGAGAATACAATGTATCAGTGTGAGAATATAATGTATCAGTGTGAGAATACAATGTATCAGTGTGAGAATACAATGTATCAGTGTGAGAATACAATGTATCAGTGTGAGAATACAATGTATCAGTGTGAGAATACAATGTATCAGTGTGAGAATATAATGTATCAGTGTGAGAATATAATGTATCAGTGTGAGAATATAATGTATCAGTGTGAAGAATGTAATGTATCAGTGTGAGAATACAATGTATCAGTGTGAGAATATAATGTATCAGTGTGAGAATACAATGTATCAGTGTGAGAATACAATGTATCAGTGTGAGAATATAATGTATCAGTGTGAGAAGATATAATGTATCAGTGTGAGAATATAATGTATCAGTGTGAGAATACAATGTATCAGTGTGAGAATATAATATATCAGTTTAAAGATATAATGTATCAGTGTGAGAATATAATGTATCAGTGTGAGAATACAATGCATCAGTGTGAGAATATAATGTATCAGTGTGAGAATACAATGTATCAGTGTGAGAATACAATGTATCAGTGTGAGAATATAATATATCAGTGTGAAGATGTAATGTATCAGTGTGAGAATACAATGTATCAGTGTGAGAATACAATGTATCAGTGTGAGAATACAATGTATCAGTGTGAGAATGCAATGCATCAATGTGAGAATACAATGTATCAGTGTGAGAATATAATATATCAGTGTGAAGATGCAGTGTATCAGTGTGAGAATACAATGTATCAGTGTGAGGTGGCACAGTGGCTTAGTGGTTAACATGTCTGTCTTGCAATAAATGGGTCATGGGTTCAATTCCCAACCATGGTGCCTCCTGCATGGAGTTTGCATGTTCTCCCTGTGCCTGCCTGGGTTTTCTACAGGTCCTCTGGTTTCCTCCCACACTCCAAAGACATGCTGGTAGGTTAATTGGTTCCTGTCTAAATGTCCCTAGTATGTGTATGTATATGGATGTGAGTTAGGGACCTTAGATTGTACACTCCTTGAGGGTTAGAGACTGATGTGAATGTACAATATATATGTAAAGCACAGAGTAAATTGATGGTGCTATATAAGTACCTGAAATAAATAAATGTATCAGTGTGGAAATGCTTTGCTCGGAGCTTTTATATATACATACATTCATCGGTCACTTTATTAAGTAGACGTTGCTAGTAGCAGGTTGGAACCCCTTTTACTTTTTCTGCAGTGTTTTGCATTTCGCAGAAACGCAGTACAGTCCATTTAACATGATTTCCTATGGGATATGTTCACATCTGCGCATTTTCACCCATTGCGTTTTTTTGGAAAGGGTCAGGGACTTTTTTGAATGCAAAAGCTGTGTTTTTGGTTCTATAGACTTAGATGGAAATGCTGCAGAAAAGCATGTATTACATTTTGGCTGCGTTTTTGCCATGTTATGTTAAAGGGGTTTGATGCGTTTTGCATTTTAAATCTGCCTAGCAACAAGAAAAATTAAAAAAAAATGAAAAAAAAAAATGCAAAATGCAAAACACCGCAAAAACAAGTAAAAAAACACATGTGCAAAACACAAACCATAACGCCAAAATGGCTCAAAGGCAATCCACATTCTGCAGCATTTTTGATGCATTTTTTATGAATTTTCAGTTAATTTTTTCCCCTCTCTTTTTTTTCAATTCACGTAGGGACATTGTGCGCTCCTGTGTGTTTTTGGTGTGTTTGGGTGTTTTCTGGTGAGATCTGGTGCGTTTTTTTGTGCATTTTAACGCATTCCAGTACAGTTCTGTGCAAAAAAAATGCAGCGTGTACTACTTTTTTATCTTCAACCGGAACGCACTGGAACTACAAGCGCTGATGTGAACTGTGACATTGACGACCATATAACCAACTTCTTGTGCGTCTTGGATACAGAACAAAAGCAACTGAAACGCATGGAGTGTGAACTGGCCCTTAAAGTGATGCTAAAGGCCTATTTTTTATTTCTTTTTTAATAACAAACATGTCTATCCTAACCTGCTCTGTGTAATGGTTTTGCACAGAGCAGCCCAGATCCTCCTCTTCTCAGGTCCTCCCCTGGCGCTCCTGGCCCCTCCCTCCTCAGCTTGCTATGGGGGCACCCGAGCACTCTCCAGCTGCTGCTCTGTGTGTCCATTCACACACACGGAGTGGCGGCTCAGCCCCGCCCCCACTATCTTCTCATTGGCTCACTGGCCAATGGCTCTTGCTGCTGTCTCAGCCAATGAGGAGAGGGAGTCCCAGGATATCCAAGACCCCAATGCACATCTGAGTCCTGTTAACTCTTAGAGTGGCTTCAAGGTCTAATGGGTTGTGCGGCTCCCAGCTAATGTGTGTAGGCAAACCAGTCATCCATAGTGTATGGTTAGACCAGGCCTCTCTGGCTAGTCCACAGTTTCTGACAATCTCCTATATCATGTCCACAGTCTCTGACCGTCTCCTGTATCCTGTCCTCAGTCTCTGACTGTCTCCTGTATCCTGTCCTCAGTCTCTGACCATCTCCTGTATCCTGTCCTCAGTCTCTGACCATCTCCTGTATCCTGTCCGCAGTCTCTGACCATCTCCTGTATCATGTCCGCAGTCTCTGACCATCTCCTGTATCCTGTCCTCAGTCTCTGACCATCTCCTGTACCATGTCTGCAGTCTCTGACCATCTCCTGTATCATGTCCGCAGTCTCTGACCATCTCCTGTATCATGTCCACAGTCTCTGACTGTCTCCTGTACTATGTTCGCAGTCTCTGACCATCTCCTGTAGCATGTCCACAGTCTCTGACCATCTCCTGTATCTATATCCACAGTCTCTGACTGTCTCCTGTACTATGTCCACAGTCTGACTATCTCCTGTACTATGTCCGCAGTCTCTGACCTTCTCCTGTATCCTGTCCACAGTCTCTGGACTGTCTCCTGTACTATGTCCACAGTCTCTGACTATCTCCTGTAGTATGTCCGCAGTCTCTGACCTTCTCCTGTATCCTGTCCTCAGTCTCTGACCTTCTCCTGTAGTATGACTGTCCTAAACTCTCCTGTATCCTGTCTCTGACCTTCTCCTGTATCCTGTCCTCAGTCTCCTTCTCCTGTCTCTGTCCTAAATCTCTGACCGTCTCCTGTATCCTGTCCTCAGTCTCTGACCATCTCCTGTATCCTGTCCTCCTTTTACCATCTCCTGTAATAGGTCAGCAGACTCTTTGATCATCTCCTTTATCTTGTCCTCAGTCTCTGACCGTCTCCTATATCCTGTCTGGAGTCACTGACCGTCTCCTGTATCCTGTCTGCAGTCTCCCAACCATCTCCTATATCCTGTCTGCAGTCTCTGACATTCTCCTGTATCCTGTCCTCAGTCTCTGACTGTCTCCTGTATCCTGTTTTCAGTCTCTGACTGTCTCCCGTATCCTGTCTGCAGTCTCTGACCTTCTCCAGTATCCTGTCTGCAGTCTCTGACCGTCTCCTGTATCCTGTCTGCAGTCTCTGACCTTCTCCTGTATCCTGTCCTCAATCTCTGACTGTCTCCTGGATCCTGCCTGCAGTCTCTGACCGTCTCCTGTATCCTGTCTGCAGTCTCTGACTGTCTCCTGTATCCTGTCTGCAGTGCCTGACCTTCTCCTGTATCCTGTCTGCAGTCTCTGACCATCTCTTGTATCCTGTCTGCAGTCTCCAACCATCTGCTATATCCTGTCTGCAGTCTCTGACCTTCTCCTGTATCCTGTCTGCAGTCTCTGACCGTCTCCTGTATCCTGTCTGCAGTCTCTGACCTTCTCCTGTCCTCAGTCTTTGACCTTCTCCTGTACCCTGTCCTAAATCTCTGACCGTCTCCTGTATCCTGTCCTCAATCTCTGACCATCTCCTGTATCCTGTCTGCAGTCTCTGACCATCTCCTATATCCTGTCTGCAGTCTCTGACTGTCTCCTGTATCCTGTCCTCAGTCTTTTACCATCTCCGGTAATAGGTCAGCAGACTCTGATCATCTCCTTTATCTTGTCCTCAGTCTCTGACCGTCTCCTATATCCTGTCTGCAGTCTCTGACCTTCTCCTGTATGCTGTCTGCAGTCTCTGACCTTCTCCTGTATCCTGTCTGCAGTCTCTGACCATCTCTTGTATCCTGTCTGCAGTCTCTGACCATCTGCTATATCCTGTCTGCAGTCTCTGACCTCCTGTATCCTGTCCTCAGTCTCTGACTGTCTCCTGTATCCTGTTTTCAGTCTCTGACCGTCTCCTGTATCCTGTCAGCAGTCTATGACCATCTCCTGCATCCTGTCTGCAGTCTCTGACCTTCTCCTGTATCCTGTCCTCAGTCTCTGACTGTCTCCTGTATCCTGTCTGCAGTCTCTGACCTTCTCTTGTATGCTGTCCTCAGTCTCTGACCATCTCCTGCATCCTGTCCACAGTCTCTGACTGTCTCCTGCATCCTGTCCACAGTCTCTGACCGTCTCCTGCATCCTGTCCACAGTCTCTGACCGTCTTCTATATCGTGTTTGTAATCTCTGACCATCTCCTGTATCCCGTCCGCAGTCTCTGACTGTCTCCTGTATCATGTCCGCAGTCTCTGACTGTCTCCTGTATCATGTCCGCAGTCGCTGACCAACTTCTGATATGGAGCTCTTATAGGAAGATGTGGAGCCTAAAGCAGAGGGACAGAGATTACAGATGAAGGAGTGGATCTTAAACAAGAAGGGGTGGGACAAATTTAGATGGGGGTGCAATTTTAGTCTTGCCTAGGGCAGCACAAAGCCCAAATACACCACTAGCCCAAAATCCATACTAGACCCTTATCTGAGCATGAAGCCCAGCAGGTCAGGAAAGGGAGGGGAATAAACGAGCGGTAACCCCCCCCTTGAACCATAGCAGGCCACATGCCCTCAACATGGGGGTGCTTTGGAGCTGATGGGGACAAGGGCCCCTTCCCCACACCCATGGCTGGTGGTTGTGGGGAAGGTCTGTGGATGGGGGGGGTTATTGGAATCTGGAAGCTCCCTTTAACAAAGGGGCCCCCAGATTCCTCCCATGTGAATGAGTATGGGATACATGGTGCCACTACTCATTCACAAAAAAAAGTGTAGTGTACAAAATGACAGGAGACAGTCTTTGACTAGTCCTTTATTAACAATAAAAAGTAAAGACCCCGAAGTAGATCCAACGTCAATCACAATGCCACTGCCGACCCAAAAAAAAAAGTCTCCGCTCTCGACACTGGCTCCTGCCGTCTGACAGCTGTGCTGGTAGGCAGTTTCTAAATACTGTGATGATGTCACAAGGCCATGCCCCCCTTGTGACATCATCATGTGCTGTGATTGGCCAAATCATTTCACCTCCTTTGGATCAACTGAGGGTATAGGATTATAACTTTTTTTTTTTGGTTGAACTGGATTCTTTTGTCTTTTTTCAGCCAGACTAACTATGTCATTATGTAACCTGATCTGTGGTCAGATGCCTTGCTTTGGCCAATCACAAGCACTGTCAGGCTGCAGTGTATTGTGGGGCATGGTGAGCAAACAGCCCAAAGAACACCCTTTTATCGTTTGTGTGTTCACCCAACACGTGAACAGCCGATGTTGAACTAATTATTGACTCGAACATCTAGACCGGGGGTCTCCAAACTATGACCCTTCAGGTGTTGAGGAACTGCAAGTCCCATGAGGCCTTGCAAGACCCTGACAGCCACCGGCAAGATGGCTGAAGCATGATGGGACTTGTAGTACTTCAACAGCTGGAGGGGCATAGTTTGGAGACCCCTGCTCTAGCCCAACAATAGTGAAAACCTTTATTAAGGACAGACAGCGTACAAATCTATTTCAAAACTAAACATGAAGATCTCCCTGCACAGTGCAGACTGGGTTCATTATGGCAAACGCATATCCAGCCCCTCTTAAACAAAGAGAACTATGTCGGATTTTCCTTGCCAGAGGGTCCAGAATAGAGTATCTTAACAAGGCAAGCTGCAGTTTTTAATTTTTTTTTTCAGTTATGCTGTGTAAATGGGGACATGTAACTAATATAAAGTAGGCTTTATCCCAGTTTGTGAAAAGTGACGCTCCAAGAACTGCGCGCATATTTCCTGGTGACCTCTAACATGTGACCGGGTGCCGATGCTCCAAGCTCAGCTTGTCCAGTTCAAAGATCTAAAGAGAGCCGCTATCCAACGATCAACAGGGTGAAACTTCATGTAAAAAAATGGCTTTAGAGAGTCTCCTCCCATGCCACGCCCCTCACAGAGGTGTGGCATGGGCGGAGACTCCCAGAAGCCATTTTTTATATGAAGCTTTACCTGGCTGATAGTGGATGTGCGGCTCCATTCCTTTCAGACGTTATCCCAGTTTGGCTGCAAAAGTGAAAATACAATTTACAATTAAAAAAAAGCTGTATGAATATAATATGAGATTTTTGGGGGTTTCACATTTATCAATCTTCTTTAATGATTTCAAGGCAGCCATGTTTCAAAATGGCTCTGTACTTCCCTCTTTCCTGGTAGAGTATCTTCCCCTATGCGGTCCTTCCAATGTTCTACCAAGAAGTCGGCACTTAGTCCCATCCCCTGCTACCTCCTGTGCCTCATCATTGGTCATCGGGGCACCCATCACATTAAAACCAGCCAATCATGAGGCATGGAGTGCAGGCTGGAGAATGTGAGGTCAAAATAATCTTCTAGTAAGATATCAGAATGTGAATATAGTTACATAGTTAGTCTGGCTGGAAAAATACAAAAGTCCATCCAGTTCAACCAATAGATAAAAAAAAAATTTATATAATCCTGCACCCACAGTTTGATTGCAGAAAAGGCAAAAAAAAACAGTAAAGCACGATCCAATTTGCTCCTGCAGGGGAAAAATTCCTTCCTGATCCCCCGAGAGGCAATTATCGGAATATTCCCTGGATCAAACTTTCCCTATAAATGTTATATCCAGTTATATTTCTGTGTATACCAAGAAAGAATCCAGGACTTTTTCCTACAGCAAATCCACCTTGAGCTGGCCACAACCAACTCTTGACGGGAGTATATTCCACATTCTCACAGCTCTTACTGTGAAGAAACCTTTTCCGTGTTTGGAGATTACATTTCTTTTCCTCCAGACATAAAGAGCGCCCCCTTTTCCTCTGTGATGACCTCAGGGGGGAAGAACTACACCGAGTTCACTATATGAACCCACTGATGTATTATACATGGAGATCATATCCCCCCTTAATGTATTAATAACATGGAGATCATATCCCCCCTTATGTATTATACATGGGAGATCATATCCCCCCCCTTATGTATTATACATGGAGATCATATCCCCCCTTATGTATTATACATGGAGATCATATCCCCCCCCTTTATGTATTATACATGGAGATCATATCCCCCACTTATGTATATACCATGGCAGATCATATCCCCCCCTTACTAGTATTATACATAGTGGAGATACAATCCCCCCTTATGTTATTATACATGGAGATCATATCCCCGCTTTATGAATTATACATGTAGAGTACATATCCCCCCTTATGTATTATACATGGAGATCATATCCCCCCTTATGTATTATACATGGTGATCATATCCCCCTCTTATATATTATACATGGAGATCATATCCCCCCTTATGTAGTTATACATGGAGATCATATCCCCCTTATGTATTATAATGGAGATCATATCCCCCCCCCCCTTATGTATTTATACACGGAGATCATATCCCCCCTTATGTATTATACATGGTGATCATATCCCCCCCTAAAGTAATATACAAGAATATCATATCCCACCTTAAGATAATATACATGGTGAACAAATCCCCCCTTAAGTATATACATGGAGATCATACCCCCCTAATGTATTAACACAAAGTGAACAATATCCCCCCCATATGTATTAACATGGTGATCATATCATATCCCCCTTTTAAATTTTTAAAGGGGGATCAATCCCGCTTAATATTATAAATGGAGTCATTAATTTCCCCCCCTTTTGTATTTTTACATGGAGTCAAAAACCCCCCCCCCATGTTTTAACATGGAATTTATATCCCCCTTATGTATTATACATGGAGATCATATCCCCCCCTTTTGTATTATCATGGAGATCAAATCCCCCCCTTTTTGTATTATACATGGAGATCATATCCCCTTATTTAATTTTAAAATGGAGATCATATCCCCCCCCCAAGTATTATAAAATGGAGGGTCATAAACCCCTTTTGGGATTATTTCATGGAGATATATCCCCCCTTATGTATTATACATGGAGATCATACCCCCCCCTTTGGGATTATACATGGGGAAAATACCCCCTTATGTATTAAAACATGGGATCATTTTCCCCCCCCAATGTAATTATTTCATGGAGATCATATCCCCCCCTTAAAAAAATTTTTTCATGGAGATCATA